GGGAAGGAGAGGGGGTAATCTTTACTTTTCCAAAATCAGTATCAGTCATTTACTACTGATAAAATTTGGAATGTACCCACAGTATTAGTGTTAGGCTGTATGACACTGATTTGGCAGTGTCAATCAATGGCAGGGTATAATCAATACAGAATCAATCTGCATATCTACTATTTACTAAAAAATTAAGACTTCTTTAGCACTTTTTAGTCTCAGGTCATGGCCTATGTAACGTAGTTTTAGTGCGTGTAACTAATTATATAAGATTTATTTTAAGCAGGAAATAAAAAATTAACAGAAATATCAAACAGAAAATAAAACAAAACCAGACAAACCCTACATTCAACAAAGATAGGCTGAGCTGTATACAATGCCTTTACTAGACTTATGCAGAACAAGTATATGATATATCAGGTAACATCATTATGTCCTCTGCTGTCATTTTAAATTTTGAGACAATGACTTTCCTGAGTTTCTTACTGTACCATGAAGATGTATTTGACAGTGACACAAATGAGCTACCACTACAGGCAGGCTCACAGACAGGCAAATTTATAAATCACTTCACCTTTCAAACCTTCAAGCTGAGGACAATGATCTCAGAAAAGATATCAAAAATGGTTATTGTGACACCAGTTTCCACATGGAGTCATCTCACAAACTACAGAAAGTATCTTGAGGAAAGAGGCTCCTGTCTCTCTCTCTGCTGAGTGCAAGTAAATAAGCCCATCCTAGATGTGCATGACCACACTGTGCTTGAGGCTCTGCAGCGTATGGTTTGACCATGTGGAAGAGGTGTTGTTCTGAATGAGGAAATGCTGATGAGAGGGTGTACGGCTGAGGTCAACTCCTGGCTCGAGCAGAAGTCAGTGTGGTGCTGGAGGGGCAGTCGTATCCCAGAGCTCATTAGAAAACTTTGTCACTACTGTAATTTACATATGGCTTCAATTTTTCCTGTGAAGCTATTCTTGTCACCAAGGAATTATTATAATACTACTGAATTATTCCTGTTCTAAGTCATCCAAGAAAATTGATTATAGTGTGGCTGTTTCCTGGTGGCCAGTTATGCTAACTTGATGGTTTCTTCAAACCAATTCAGCAGCATAGATAGCTGGGAAGTAAAGAAGGAAATTAGGGTCTTAAGTGTGAAATGACATAGCTCTATCATGGACAGTCATCTGCCAACATTAACAAGCAAAATGACAGAATACAGTACTTTTTATTTCAAAGAGGAAAGAAACCGAACAATCACAGACAATACTTCAATAAGAAGCCATCGAAGATCCAGACAAAAGAACCTATTTCATATGTATTTACAGACCCTCAAAAATTTCAATGGGATATTCATGTTTAAGTACCCCAATGAACAAGAATTGAGCACTTCAGATACTTTGGGGGATTGCAATATTCCTTGTGTATGTAATGCCTGCAATGCTTTGATCTTGTCAAGCTTGTAGACTGAATTCTCCATGACTAGCAGGAGGATGCGTGTGATCAAGGACTCACCGTGATAAACCTGGACTCCTTATGTCATCTCAGAAGCCAAGTTTAGCCTTATTCAGGGATTGGCAGCAGACTTGCATATTCTTTCATTAATTAATGTCCAATCCTGATATCATAGGAATTGTATATATTTATATACAATATATTTGTCCTATCATGTTCTGAATAAAAACTCTCAAATATCATGGCTACATTATACAGGAATTACTACGAAATGTTTTACCTAACCTAGTCTGTCTCTTATACCAACAGATCAAGGAAAGGTTCAAAAATCCAAAAGGGAACACCTGTGGGACCATTCACCTGAACAGAACTGACAGCTATTTTCAGAACTCACTTTTAATGTGTAAATGGAATTATTGGTCTTACATTTACGAGACTTGGGATTTTTAGTTATACATGACATTTACAGAGTTTTCATCAACAGTAACGTGCATTTTTTATAAGCTCTGAATAGAACTGAGACCTGCATGTTTCCCAAAAAAGGTTCACGTGGAGCTTTCTTTTTATATCAGCAGAATACAGACTTTCAGATACATGAATACCTTCTGTGCCGCCAGAACACAAAATGACCTCCCACCACCCACTACACAATCAGTGTTTATATTTTCAGAACACTGCTGATCTCTGTCATTCAGATATTTGTCACACAGCAAATGACTAAAAGGCATAAGAGACATATGAGGAGAAAGATGACAATAACTCTAATTTCGGTGAAGCATAAAAAAATAAAAGCTAAACTGATACTTTTTGAATACAATACAAGCAAAGGTGAAAAGTACCTTCCAGCTAGAGTTGTAACTATATACTAAGCCTTGGAAAGTTCTTTTATTTATTTATATATTTTTATTCTCTGGAGTTTGTACAGAGTGCAGAGGAGCACGCTATTGAAGATATCTGACCAAGATGTGAATGAATCGCTATAAGCTAGGAAGCTAGGTAGACATACCAGCTTGTATCCTTAAAAAAAGCACACAATAACCTCATCTTGGAATAGTGGTAAAGAGGGCAGGGTTCGCACAAAGCTGAAGCACTACAACATCGAGGTAATGAGTTGGTTATCTCAGCAGTAGTTTAGGCATCTCTTCACTACTACCTGTCTGGTTCGGGACCTGTCAATCTTTGTGATCACTCGGTGCTGGTTCTGATCATTGCACAACAGACATAAATAAAATTCAGACCCCTAAAATCCATCCTGTGCTTAACTGCTTTGCTGCATCTGCAGCCTTGTAAATTATCCTAAGATGCCTTAAGTACCAAAACCAGAATAAAATGGGTACTTTTTAAAAAGCAGCATAAGAAAGTGGCGTAATTTTCTAGAGTAATTTAGGTTTTCATTTCTGTGGCATGCTTGTCAGGATGTTAAATTTCTGTCTCCAATAAAACTGCATAAGCATGTGGAAAATCTATTATCTTGACCTACATGGAAAAGTAAGAAGCACGTGAATATATATTTATTTGAATTATCTGAAAACATGGCTCTGTGTTTCCCTCAGAATGAGTCCATTTGACACACTATAAAAAAGGGACAACATAAAACCAATTTTGTTTCTAATTCTAAGAGCATTTCTACTTTGTTACATAGATCCATCTAAGTAATTTATTATTTGAATCATCTACTAAAATGAGTATAGTTCTGATTGCCTCTTACACTTGTAGCAAAGGTCCCTTTCAGGGAAAAGGTTGAAAGTGCCTGCTCTGCTACATGTTTTTTTACAATTACCTGAATTATGTCAAATAGACAGTATACTTTTAGCAATGAAATTAACTGTGTTTGCAAACAGAGAAGTGTTTCGGTATATAATGAAGCCCGTCCCTTTCTTTCTGCATTTCTCAGAATGGGTATTCTGTTTCACTACTTCCATACTTTTCAGGTTTCACTTTTCAGCTAAATTTCATCTTAACTCTGAAGTAATAAAATGCTTCACAGTTTTAAAGAAGAATTAAAATATGCACGTATCCTTTTATATTGAAGGCATTTAACTTTACTGTCAGGAATATGCAAGTAAACGTTTTCCAAGAACTCTTTGGTGACTATGTCTACTTGCTGCCAGTGTTGCACAAGGCATTTTACAAGTTGGACCCAGGCACACCTGATGTAGCCTTTTTAGAACCATGTTACATATAGAATGCATTTGCTCTATCACCCCACAAAATACTGAAGAACAAAACAAAACCAAACCATTTATAGGAAGCATGGAAAAACATCAAAGATTAGACATGAATCTACATCTAAAACCTTTTCCTTCTTCTTTATATTCCAGCTATGTCTTCTCTTTGCTTTTGCTGGAGACATTGCACAAGGACCATTTGCATCAATGGAAACCATTCATATGATTGAGGATTTTCAGGGTAAAACCAAAGTCTTACTATGAATAAAAATGTTAATGGGGTAACGTTAGTTACCAATTTGAGCTAAGAAGCTACAAAAGCCATTTTTTAGCATTTGAACCCATTGAAATTCTCATCTTTTCAGCATTCATAGTTATGTCCTTCCAAATTGGACTTAAATTATAGCTAGGGTTACTAACAATCCTCTGTCAACGTCTTTCATAGACATCTGCATAAGATAAATCATTTGCCTTGTTTAATTTTAATAGAAAATGGGAAACCATATGTTTGAAATCAAAACAGTAACACTGTGCAGAATAATAAAAAAAAGCAATATTAACTGAAATAAGCAAAATAAAATCTCCTCTAAAACCAGCTTTGGGTACCATGAGTAAATGTGGGATAAGCATTTAATTTTTTTCTATATTTAAAAAAACACAACTCCATCTAATAATTTGTTTCTGTTGATCAAGAAATTACTTTGACATTGCAAAGACAGTTGAGAATTCACAATCGAACAAGAGTCTTCAAGAGTATGCGACCTTACCTTCACCTGCATACGCCAGAATGGAGCGGGCACGCATCTGCTTCCCTTCTGTGGTTTTGCCGGAGCAGGTGTGTGAGCAGGAGGACCATGCGGACCACATGCTGAGCACACAGTTCTTTGGGCATGGAGCTTCGCAGACAACCGGGATTGGGTAGATAGCATCTCTACACAGCTGTCTGTCAACCTCTTCTCCTGGGAAAGAAAAGGCCAGTAGCAGTCTATCATTTGTTAAATTAACTTAAAATGAGCAATCTAGTCCAGATGGGCACACAAATAAATTAGATTCTGTTCTTCTATATAAACAAGGTAAATAGATTTTTTTATTAAAATGACTTGTCTCCTCTGCCTTGATTCTAGAAGAACATGTTTAAACCTAGTTTAATTTGATATTCTGCTGAAGTGAATGCCAGCCTGGGTGGTCTGTAGGCTTTCATTTTGTTAATACACATTTGATTCCACAGAAAATCCTAGCGCGAATAACAGAGTATATAATACACCTATGGAAAACTGTATACATGGAACTGCAGGTACATTAATCACCTATTCTTCATCCATGTTTGTGGGAGAAGGGGAAAAGCATCCTCACTTTCAGCTCAGCCAGTTTTACAATCCACAATTCATCCTTTGAAGTGCAGTTATGCATCAAAATATGAAGAGTGTTGCAGAAAGCTGCAGTCAAGAGTCTCTTGTTTGGTTAGAAAGATCTTCATTTGTTAGTCAAGCCAGTAACACATCAGTCTTCATGTCCCGGAAGTATAAAAAGATCTATGCATTTGTATTCTGTCACATCGATGTACACATTTCACTATAATAAAAAGATCCCAGGCTGGTATAAATTGTCTAATGAAATACTAACTAGTGTTTAAGTAGCAGGGCTGCTTTTGTTTTCAGTAAGGAAATAATGGGAGCACTGTGTCTGAGATTTGTCTGAACAGCACCCTAATCACAAAGTGGTGAGTTTTGTAAGGTGACATATGACTTCCTGATCAAATCAGTTAATACCCATTAAGTGAGGAATGAACAAATGAACAAAATTCAGAGGTCACTAAGTCTCACTGACAGTGACAAAAGCCTCAGGATAAATCTTCACTTTGGAGCAGATGATGGAAAAATTCAAGGAAGGAGGGAGAGGTTTGGAGTCACTGTTTTAGGGTTATAGCCTTGTGCTGGTTTTGGCTGGGATAGAGTTAATTTTCTTCATAGTAGCTAGTATGGGGCTATGTTTTGATTTTGGGCTGGAAACAGTGCTGATAACACAGGGATGTTTTAGTTACTGCTGAGCAGTGCTTACACAGAGTCAAGGCCTTTTCTGCTCCTCACCCCACCCCACCAGCGAGCAGGCTGGGGGTGCACAAGAAGCTGGGAGGGGACACAGCTGGGACAGCTGACCCCAGCTGACCAAAGGGATATCCCATACCATGAGGTCATGCTCAGCACATAAAGCTGGGGGAAGAAGAAGGAAGCGGGGGATGTTCAGAGTGATGTCGTTTTGTCTTCCCAAGTAACCATTAAGTGTGTTGGAGCCCTGCTTTCCTGGAGATGGCCGAACACCTGCCTGCTGATGGGAAGTAGTGAATTAACCCTTTGTTTTGCTTTGCTTGCATGCGCTGTTTTTGCTTTACTTACTAAACTATCTTTATCTCAACCCATGAGTCTTCTTACTTTTACTCTTCTGAATCTCTCCCCCATCCCAGCAGCGGGGAGTGAGTGAGCAGCTGTGTGGTGCTTAGTTGCCGGCTGGGGTTAAACCATGACAAGCCTTGTTATCATACAAACCAATTACAGAAAGCGGTTGCAACAAAAAGCACCAGGAACTGAGCAATAGCCCAATATGTAATGCCAGTTACAAGGAACTGTGAAAAAGTTGCATCTAAGAGCACACTGGACTTCTGAGGCCCTCTTAATCACATACAATCAAGGCATGGAAAGAGCCAGTCTCATTCGCAACCATGAAACTTTCTTTTTTTTAATTTTCTGAAAAGCATAACATTTTAAAAGCATCTGAATGCCTTTTGTATTATAAGATCCTTGCTGTACTAGAGCATAAAACCTTCTGTTGAATTATGATTCATCTACTGAAACATTATTGAAGCATATGTGATCTCGATGGGACTGAACAGAAGTGTCTATAGCATTGCTCTTGCTACGATCCATCATGTGAACCCTTTTGTTTTAATGGCTAGTGTCAACAAAGTGTCTCATCAAAATTTGCAATGAACATAAGTCTTCCATACAACAAAACATTTGTTAGAAGTGATCATTAAATACTCTATAATTTAATGATAAAGACATCAGCCAGTGTTAATAACCACCACCTGGATTCTGAAAAGCTAATTCAGTGAGCACTGTGAACGCTGTAAATGAAGCCAAAGATCTATAAACACTGCTTTATCCAAGCCTAAAACTGGCTTTTATTGCTTAATAGAATAATGATAAAATGAATCAAACACTAATCTAAACAGAAACTATATTTTGTCATTCAAGGTTTAGGGTCTTAAAACGTGTCAAATAAGAATCTCAGATAAACTGAGTTCCTGAAAATAGGAGGTTCTTTAGTACCAGTGACATGTCATGAGTCCCAGAATTATTAATGACCAAATTCTTTATAAAAAGAGGAAAAGATGAGGGCAATCCATCCAATATTATATCCCTTTAACCAGTGTCAAATATTTTATTCATACAGAATCTTTAGGCACAACAGAACCGCAAACATCAATCTTCCTTGGCTCTGCAAACCAGGGGACGTCCTGCAGCTCACGCTTTTAAAATAGCCTAAAGTAGTCATAATAATCTGAATTATAAAGACCTTTGAGATCAAGTGAGTCTCAATAGCTGTATTTTCCCATATTAAAAATACAAATTTGAGCCCTGCCAAAGGCTTCATAGATCTCCCACATGAAGTTCTGCTTCCCTCACTGGACTCAATCTTTGCATCAATTGCTCCTTCTCTTCTATCACAGGTCATCACATCCTGACACCAGTGCAGGAGGGATTCCTGCCTGCTTCATCAGAACAGCACATGTTCAGGTTGGAGGATAAGATGGAGGAGCAGACTGCAAACTTTCAAAGAATAGTAAAAAAAGCTAGAAAAGGGGTGAACCTTACTCTCAAATTGTTCCATCGCCAGGTAAGACTCAATGAAGTAAACTGCTGTGGCACTTTCACACCTTGCAAGAAATACTACTATTACAATAAAGTATGTCATAGTGTAAACATACAATACTATATCGAGCTTATTTATCGCCTGCCAACTCAGGTGGTATTAACTGAAACTCAAGCTAAATTTGGGGTCACAATGAGAAATTGTTTTGAATTAGTTTCAGTCTCAGTTTATATTTCAAATTAAAAAAAAAAAAAGCCTCCACTCTGTCTCAAAATCAAAGCCCTCTCTTATCCTTTGTTTTACAGAGAAAATATTCTCGAAATATGTATCTTCCATATTAGCATTTAGTTTTTGTCAGCTGGCCAATTCTTATCTGATGAATTCAACAGCATAGATATGCAGTTGGAAGGAATGTTTTATAATGGGTACTTCTTATCTTCAGGGAAATATTTTATTTAGACTACATTGTTTCTGACATTTCACTAATGATTTTATGAACAACTTGACCTTTTTTTGTCTTCCTCTTTAAAGTGCATAGTGTAGTCAACTACCAGGAACCACTCAACCATACACTGGGAACAATGCCAGTGTAAAGACTAAAGCTACTTAGAAAAAGTCCCATTTGAAAAATGTTGTCATATGTAGGCTAATATTTTATTTTAACTTTATAGGTATACATTTATTTTGCACAAAAGTCGAAGACAGAACTCCAAAAGCACAAGTCAAATGTCCTTGCCCTGAATTATTTATACTCTAAGAATAACAACAGAATGACAAAAAGTAAAAACCAGAAAGACGAAAATGGAATATGACATGTCCATCAAGAAAACTCTTCAGCATTTATCAGTTGATTTGTTCATTAAAATCTGGACTTTAGCAATAATCCATATTCAGAAACAGTGCCTATGTAGTTGAATGATATTTCCCTCATGCAACAGTTGCACATTTTGGGCTAAATTATCCAAATTGCACTAAAGGGAGTGACTGCATGTAGAAATGGCAGGAGGCAAAAAACGTTTTCTTTTTCAAGGATGCAAAATGTCAAAAACTGTTTAAACCTTTGCTGGGACTTTTTCAGAGTTGTGTCATCAGTAGAGACCACCAAGGAGATAGCCTTTCAAATGCACATCTCTTCCTTGAACTGTTATGTTGGATCCAGCTAGACAATCAGCAAAGCAAGTCACTACATTAAAACCTCCTTGTGGCCACCTTCTTGGTGTGAAGACCTTCTAGTATGTGTGCACACACCAGAGCCACTAGTGAACTACTGAACTATTTAATAGCTGTAAAACAAATAAACAAACAAAAAAATCCCAAGCCAACCAAACAAAAAACCCCACCCCCCCCTAGTGAATAGGCGAATTTTTACAGATTAAAGCGAGGTAGCTTGAGAATGGCATGCAGGAGGAACTGGCTAACTGTCCATAAGTATCAGACTGTATTCATATCGCCATTCTTGTTTCATTACATTCACAAAGCAGATATGGCATCTGTGAAAATTTGGTTGAGATGCTAAAGGATGGGCTAGACCACAGAAGACATATGTCCTGCATTTAATGTAGTTGAATCATGTCACTCCTTTGTGGCTTTGTTCACTCATCTGTAAAATGTGTCTGATATTTAAGTTTTTTCTAAAATGCTTTAAGATCTTTCCAATGGGAAGCATTCCCAGAGCTGGTATCACTAGAGAGACATGGCAAGGAAACCCTCTTGCTTATTGTGCATCTTTTAATATGATGCATGTTTCAGTGCACAGTAAAAAGTTGCTGTCAAATTCTGACCTGTAGTAAATGGAAAGGCAAGTGCTTAACAGAGGGCAAAACTTTTTTAATGCCTTAAAATGAACAGTAAAATCACTGCAAGATTCAATGAGGCATAGAGAACAACTGAAAAAAAATCAACATAAAATAAAAATGCTGTTGGGATCCTACACAATAAGACAATGAACTTGGTCTCAGTCCTGCACCTGGAAACCAGCTATGGTTTCTGAAAGGCTGAACTATAACTGGATATAAACTAAGTAAAAAATTGACAATAAAATCACAATAAATGGGATCAAATCAAGAGAGTTCTTTGAACATTAATATTG